ATCAATTCTTCTAAGGTATTCCTTATTCACTGTCTAACATTCACATGCATATGAGGTTATTAAAAATACCATGGCTTGGGTCAGGTGCACCTTAGTCCTCAAGCTGACATCTTTGCTCTTGAGTACTTTAGAGTTCTCTTGCAGCAGATTTGCCTAGTGCAATACATCGTTTGATTTCCTAACTGCTGCTTCTATGAGAGTTGATGGCTGATCTAAGCAAAATGAAATCCTTGACAACTTCAATCTTTTCTCCATTTATATGGATGTTGTTTATTGGTCTAGTGGTGAGGAATTTTATTTTCTTTACATTGAAGTGCAACCCATACTAAAAGCTGTGGTCTTTGATCTTCATCAGTAAATATTTTATGTCCTCTTCACTTCCAGCATGCAAAGGTTGCATCATCAGCATATTGCACCGTCTTGGATTATTTGTTCAGCATACAGATTAAATATACGTATGGTGAAAGAATACAAGTCTAGTGCACGCCTTTCCTCATTTTAAACCATTCAGTCTTCCCTTGTTCTGTTTGAACAACTGCCTCTTAGTCTATGTACAGGGTCCTCATGAGCACAATTAAGTGCTCCAGAATACTCATTCTCCGCAATGTTGCCTATAGCTTGTCATGATCCACACAATTGAAACCTCTGTGTAGTCAAAAAAGCACAGGTAAACATTCTTCTGGTATTCTCTGCTTTCAGCCAAGATTCATTTGACTAAGCAATGAAAACCCTCGTTCCACATTCTCTTATAAATTCGCCTTGAACTTCTGGAAGTGCTCTGTCAATGTATGACTACAGCCGTTTTTGTATTAGCTTAAGCTAATACTCATAGCTAGACATTTTTACGGGACCTTCATCTTTCTCTCAAGGAACAGTGGCTGGGTTTGAATGTTCTTAAATATTAATTATATTTCCTTAAAACATTATTTTCTATTCAATATTATTTTTCCATTAAGTAGTATTCACTTTAAGGAGTTTTGGTAGCCTAGTTGTTACAAAATGGGCTGCTAATCTCAAGGTCAACAGTTCGAAACTTCCAGCTCTTCCGCAGGAGAAAGATGAGGCGTTCTGCTCCTGTAAAGATTTACAGCCTCGGAAACTCTATACAGGGTCACTATGAGTAGGAACCGACTCCACGGCACATAACCATCACCACTACCACCAGTATTCACTTTTGGGGGACTGATGAACTGCGGTTAGTACAAAGGGAACACAGGAATACTGCTTTGTTTACAGTGCCCAATTAATGAGGCCCAATATCTTGTGGGGGTTTTTTCCTTTGGCCCAAGCAACCACACTGATCTGAAATCCTCAGGGGACAAGTTTCTTTCTTGGTTGCTAACCCCTAATGCATACAGTGCATTAGTATGGTTTCTCAAGCTCAATATCATTGACATTTTGAGTCAGATTATCTGTTGTGAGGAAGTTTGTCCTGTACATCTTAGGATGTTGATTTCTGCCCACTAGGTGTCTCCCCCCCCCCCCCCCGCCCCCACTTCCAATGGCAACCAAAAATGTCTTCAGACACTACCAAATGTACTCTGGGGGCAAAATCACCTCTGGTTTAGAAACATGGTCCAAATGCATTACTTACTGTTGCCCACATTAAGTGTGTCTCCTCATTTCTGGCTACCTACACTTTAGCTATGAACCAGCCCATTCAATAAATATTTATAAACATGGACAAAGTTAAATATTAAATATTGAGGTTATGACAAATGTCTGGGAATTGAAACCACAGATGCTAAATTTAAATCATTAAGTTTTGTTGGACACACGGGCACTAACTTAGTCTGTGCAAGATCTCACTTTAGCTATATGATTATTAAGTATCAGATCTGGGGCACCGTGCTACCCTCTGTAAGACTACCAAAGAACATAAACTCTGGTGTCTTCCTTCAAGGAACTTTGTCTATCAAGCTGTGGGAATACACTGTAATATTATGAGACTTAGGGCTGACATTTTCAAATAAAATATTAAAGTGTCCTTTGTGGGGGCTAACAAATGCATACTTGAATTTTTTGTCATTTTATTTAAATTTATTTGAGTAGTAATGCAGTACAAGGGGGGAAAAGTTCCTGGTGCTCATAAAATACGCATTGTTTTCACATATTGAAACCATTATCAAGAGTATATACTTGTATATAAGATACATAAAATAGCAGAAGCAAAAGCAAACCACAAGGAACCCTATGTAAAAATTCAAGTGATCTCTATCCATAGTAGCAATAATGGATGGTTTATTTAATATTGTTGCTATTGTTAAGTGCCATCAGGTCATTTACGACTCATAGCAACCCTGTATAGGGTTTCCAAGGAGGTGCTGGGGAGTTTGAACTGCCAACCTTGAGGTTTAAACCAACCTTTTGGTCTAGTGTGTAGGCTTGGGGAAAAGTTAAAATTTTTACTTAAATCATCAAAAGCAGTGGCTTTTAGGAAATGCCTCCGTAGTCAAGGTCCCAACTTTGGTATTCTGTCTTTCAGCCTACCTGAATAATTTGAGTGTAAGAGACCCTGGATCTCTGTTCTCAACTATTTAACCCTGCTTGGCAGACAGAACAAATGAGATCCATGGAATAAGAGCTACATTAGTCAGGGCAGTTTCTGTTACCTTTGTACTAAACCATGGACATACAATAGGAGGAGCTTGAAGCAGGGCTTGGAACACCTAGGAAGGCTCAGTGGAAGTGGGATTTGGAATGGATTTTAAAGTCTGGAGTCCTGGTGTGACAATGTGGGTTAATGTGTCTTTTGAACTGCAAGGTCGGTGGTTCAAGCTCACCAGCTGCTCCTTGGAAACCCTATGGGTCGCCATGGGTCAGAATCGACTCGATGGTACTTAACAACAACAACAACTTGAAGACTGGAGTCCTGGTGTGGCAATGTGGGTTAATGCGCCAGACTGTAAAGCGGTTCAAGCTCACCAGCTGCTCCTCGGAAACTCTATACAGGGTTGCTATGGGTCGGAACAGACTCGAGGGCACTTAACAACAACAACTTGAAGTCTATTGTTGTTGTTATTGTTTAGGGCCCTCGAGTCAGCTCTGACTCATAGCGACCCTGTATAGGGTTTCAGAGGACCTTGCAGTTCAAACTGACCTTGGGGTCCATTGCATTATCCTGCAGGGTCACCATGAGTAGGAACTGACCCAATGGCACTTAATAACAGTAACAACGTGAAATCTGATCTAAGGACCAGCAATATAAGCACCTCTTGACAATTTGTTAGCAATGTCAAAATCTTGGGCCCACCCAGACTTTTTGAATCCACATCTGTATTATTTAAAATAAATCCCTGGTGATTTATTTCTATGCACAGGAGACAATGCCAGGTTTCCAGTCAGTATGGCATTGTTAAGTATGGGCTGTATTGGTGGGAAAAGGAGACTGAAGTGGGGTGCACCATCAGCCTAGAAGTAGTGAAGGCCTAGTCATGGGGAACTGAGAGTGAGGGAATGTAATTATATAATTAATCATAATGAAAAGTAGACAGAAACCATAGAAGTAGTAATAAGTTTATCACCAGTCACAGGTTTGAATTTCCAGTTCTACTACTTTTTAATTGTGTGATTTTGCGAACAGATTATTTAATCACACTGTAAAATAAGGACCCATGTACAGATCCCCAAAATCCCTCCCCTTCCCCTTCCCTCCCCTCCTCCGTCGCCATTGAGCCCATTTGAACTCATAGTGACCATCTTTCTAAGGCAGGAGCAGAAATCCTCGTATTTCTACCTGCCGAATGATTGGTGGATTCGAACTGCTGACCTTGTGGTTAACAGCCCACTATATAACCCACTATGGCACTAGGACTTGATACAAATCCAATAAGGTAATACGTATAAAAAGTACTTAGTCCTTGGCATAAAAGAACATGTCATAATTTATGATATCAATGATAATAATAACAACACGCTATTCTTTGAGAACAGAAAAAGAATAAGAGTACCCCTTTAGTGAGAATCTACTGGAGCTCCCCTCCCCCCAGTCCCCCGCTGTCTTGTGTACTCCATAAACTGCCAGGGAGGGAGGGAGTTTCATCCTCATTATAAACTGGTGCTTGGGTATGTTACCTTTTCTTTTTCTTCATTAAAAAAAAAATGTAATTAACTCCTCCTGTGTTTCCCAAGTGAGATTCCTGTCCTTGTTATTATCTTTATTGTTGTTCTTCCCCTCCAGGAGTGCGACCTAAAATGGGGCGGCGGGGGCGGGAGCGGGGAGAGAATTGCCTAGACCACTACTAAGTGGATATGCCGAATTCAAGAACTTGTTCACCAAAGGATCCGCTCTCACTTCCCTGCCTCTGATGTCCTCATTCATTTCTCTGTGATTCTGTTTGCCAATTTCCCTCTCTGTTACACGTGCAGGACTAGTGGTGAAGGGAAGCAAAGCTACCCTAAGTCGGAGCGGTGGCCTCAGGTTTAAGCACCCCGAAGTCTGTCTAGGGGCGGGGAATCCAGAGAACAGGAGAATGGCAACAGACCCGCCCAGGGGCGCGGCCCCAGGCTGCGGGTGGTGGAGGGGAGGCGAGGAGAGGGGGGGAAGGACCAGAAGGTGGGAGTGAACAGGGGTCTAAGGCTTAGCGGCTCAAGGTCTCCCTATCATCGGCCAGGTCAGGGAGCTAAGAGACAGTCCCCACACCCCAAGTTGCAACTGGCAACTTCGCAGCGGCTGCGGGGGCCCTAGTCTCGCCTGCCCGCCTGCAACGTGGCCACGAGTCGGGACGCCCTGGGACCTCCGGGTGCCCCAAACCCTCTCATTCTCTCTCCAGGTCGGACAGTGTCCCGGGTTTCGCCAACACCGGGCCCTCCTCCCCGCGAGTCGCCAACTACAGGAGTGCGCCCCGAGCCCCCCCATCGGCAGCGGGCTGCGGGCCGGGGGCCGGGCTACCGGCGGGACCGCCCCCGCCCGCCTCCCGGGCCAGCCGCGCGGGCGGGTGGCTGGGGCGCCTCCACCTCCTCTTCCTAAAGCGGCGAGGCGACGAGGAGCGGCATCACTCGAGCCCAGGTCCCGGCCACCACCACCCACAGCGTCCCGAGTACCGGAGGAGGAGCAGCAGCAGCGGCGGCGGCTTCAGCGGCGGGCCGGTGCTGGAAAGGTAGACTGAGTCCCGGAGCCGGCCGCCCACCTCCCGCCCCGGCCGCGCGCCCCCAGCCCGGTGACCCCACTTGTGTGTGTCCTTCCAGGCCCCGGTCGAAAAGCCTGGGAGGGCGGCCCAACTACCCCCGGAGGAGGAGCCACTCGGAGCCCCAGGCGCCGCCGCCGCCTCAGGAGCGGAGAGGAGCAGCCATCGCCTCCATGGCCCACTCACCGGTGGCGGTCCAAGTGCCAGGGATGCAGGTGAGGACGCCCAGGCCTCTGCCGCCGCCCACGTGACTGCACGAGGGGCCGGGGCGCACACCCAACCGGGTACTGACGATCAGAGGCAGCGTGGGGCCCCCCTGATGGCCGGGCCAGCGCTGGGGCCAGGTAACCGGAGTGTGAGGCTCGAGGTGTTTCCTGGCGTCAGGGCTAGGTGGTGCTCTGCGCTGAGAAGGACGGGAGGGATTGGGGCGTGTGACCAGATGGTGATGGGGGGCATACAAATAATGGGGAACACCTGCGCCTTAGGGTGGTGCACGATTAGGGACTGAGGAGGGGGGCGTCATCTTATAGAAGACGCCTAGGAGTTTGTGGGGTAAAACGTGGGTCATATCTTCCCCTGAATTGGGGCGGGGCATGACTAGGGGTGAGGGAGGCGTTGGCTTTGAATTGGGCTCTTCCTGTGTGTGTAGAGCGAGGTGGCTTCTTTTCCCCTTTGGGTGTTACTTCTTCAGGGAGCAGCTGCATTTAGCTGTCCCACCTGGCCCAGCTCTTAGTGTGCTGTAGTCGCTGAGGTGATGGCTCCGGGGCCCCCACCCCCGTCTTTCCCCAAGATAACTTCTGTCTGTAGTTAAAGGAAGCTTTTTGTCCAAGACAGGACTACTGCATAGGACCCAACTTCTTACTTGAGGTCAACCAAGCCCCTCCCCAAATTGTATTCTTAATTTTCTTAAAGAAGAAAGAAGCTGCATTGAGAAACTTTTTACACTGGTGCATTTCAGACTATGTTATCCAAATCTACTCTTTCTAAACCATTTAAGTTGTATTCCCTCTCTCCCTTTGCTGGATAGCCTAAAGAACTCATTTATGAATAGGTCAGAAGCTAAATACATTAAGGCATCAGTTGCCCATTATCTTCTTAAAATGTGAAAATAAACTCTTTTCAAGTTCAGAAAAACACGTTTTGCGTTTGTAAATAGACTCTGTTTCTAGTAGAAATAAAAAATCAAAACAGGGCCTTGATCTGTGTATTGATGCGTGGTATTCATTTTATTTTAGTCATTGGCCTCATTTTATGTGTGGTCACACACACACAGAGCATTTTTTTAAGTCCTTCCAAAGAAAGGGGCATCCTTTTAGGCATACATCTAACTTAACCTATGACTCCCCTGAGCACTAGGCCTTTCAGCTGTATTTAGGGCAAGTCTTTATTGAGTCCCAGGAAGTTGGTGTGTATTTAATTTAAAAAGAGAGAGAGAGAATGAAAGAAGAAAAGGAAATGGGAAATATTAGAGCTTTTTAAAGGGTAAATCATCCAAGCTTGACAAAATGCCTCAAACTGTCTTTTTCACAGTCCATCTCCCCCCTTCTCGTCCCCTCCTCCCCATTCATTGAGTTCTGCCTTTGGTTGTTGCACGAGAATTAGTAGCTTGCAACACTAACCGCATATTTGCTCTGTCTGATCAGGAAGAAGGTGCAGAAAATCTTGCCTCTGTGCTCCCCCCTCTCCCTTATGAGGGGAGTAGAAAGTTACAGAGGTGCAGTTTGCCTCTGAGACTCTCCATGCGGTCTATCTCCATTGTGTCCTCATGTGTGCATGAGTCTACAGAGTATTTGCCTCCCGGTCATCAAGTTTGTGATTCAGGGGGACTCTCTGTGCTGAGGAGAAAATGCTTTCTAGCCTTTATTTGATTTGCCTAACTTTATTTGATTTATTTGGTTTCTGGTCTTTATCTGATATGTCTTGACTCTTATTTGCTTTATATGGTTTAGGAACTGCTTGCTGTTCAATATATCTTATTGCTTTCTGCTTTGTTGAGTTATCTGAGTTGCCTATCTCTTGAATTTTTTTTTTCATCTTAATTACATGAAGCACATTTTAAATGTCAAATTCTGCCTTTGTGATTACTTTGTCCATACTAATTTGGGTAGGATGATCTTCTCAATATTAGTCAAGAAAAAAGGAAGATATAGTCACCATTGTCTTAATGAAATGATCATTTCATAACTTCTTATTCATATTTTCTTTCTAGATCTAGATGTGGTTCTTAAGCACATGGTAGAACACAAAAGCTTTACCAGAGTTAAAATTGTACCATTTATTAAAAATAGATGAGATAATATTCTTGAACCTAGACTACTCTTTATTATTCTTTTGTGCACAGATATGACAGATGAAATACAGAAAGATCGTGAGCTTGTATAATTCTCCTAGAGTTTTGTAAGAGTTAGGAGCAGCTTTAAGACCTTTAGAGCAACAAGAAAACTTGAGCTAGCCATGTGTTCTTGAAATTAATGTATAGTATTTCCACAAATCAGGGTGAAGTGGTCGACCAGGCAGTAACTTTTTAACAGTTTATTTTAGAGAATTATGAAGATTTGTGGAAAAAATGATTTTTCCAGAAATAAAAACAAAATTACTTTATCCACAGTGTTTTTCTGCCTCTTGAGGAGAGAAGTGAAGTAGAAACCAAGCTACCTGTTCTATCACTTAAGACTTCTAGCATTCCTGACTGTCAAACAAAGAAATTTCTGTTGCTACTAGTTTAAAATAGAAAAGAAACTTGGAGTGATGAAAGAAAATCCAGGATTTAGTCCAGTTTAAACTCTTCCTTATGAATTAGTTATTCAAACTTATGTTGTTGATATTTCTTAATATTGTGGTAATGAACGTTTTTGCCATAGTACACCAAAGATGGAGGGGATGATTTTTTTTAGTTCCAAATTTTTGCTTACTTCTTTAGTGTGTAACTGAAGGAATTTTCCATACCAGGAACTGAACTCTTGAAAAAATATTTAAAGCATTGTTTTTAATCAATGAGTAAATAAACCTATTTCTTTCCATTCCAATATTTATTCTTTAATGATTTAAGACAGATTTTTCTTTGAAGTTTTAAATTATAAATCATCCTTAAGATGTTTCCCTTTAGAACCTATATTAATATTTTACAGGCAGATATTCTAAATAGATTTTAAAACATTTTATGTAGTATAGATGCTAGAATAAAGTTGCATGTTGAGTTTATTTTGAGCACTAAACATTATGATATATCATGCTTTATGTTGTTAAACAGTTTTCAAAAATCCCTGCTAAAGAATTTAGAAATCAGCTTTCATGTATCCTTAACAACCATCAGGGTGGTACCGTTTTAAAAATGGTGTTATTTGAGGTATGAGACAGACATGAGGCTTAAGGATCAATCAACACTTTAATGAGAACTTTTATCTAATAGATGGTAAATATTGCCTTGCATTGGTGAACCTAGTTACTGGATTCTGGGAGTGATACAAATGTATGCTATATTGCCACACAGGAAAGTATTCTGAGCAAAGGTATAAAGTACAAAAGCAGGGACGTGCACAGCCACACATGCACACACAAATGTGTACACACACACACACACACACACTCATACTGACACACTCTTTGAGAGGGGGATAAGATCACCTGGGTTTTGTTGAAGACTTTATCGTGGGAAATAATAGGAGATAAAATCAGGACTCTGGACTGGTTTCAGATTATAGTGATGCTTAGAAGTTAAGAGTGAGCCCTGGTAGTTGTTGTTGTTGTGTGCCATGGAGTCGGTTCCGACTCATAGCGACCCTGTATAGGGTTTCCCAGGCTGTAAATCTTTACGGGAACAGAAAGCCTCATCTTTCTCCCGCGGAACAGCTGGTAGTTTCAAACTGCTGACCTTGCAGTTCACAGCTCGATTCATAACCACTATGCTACCAGAGCTCAGTGCTTGGTTGCTAATCTAAAAGTTGTTGGTTCGAACCCACCAGCCCTTCTGCTCCATGGTAGAAAGATGTGACAGTCTGCTTCCGTAAAGATTTGCAACCATGGAAACTCTCTGAGAAGTTCTTCTCTGTCACATACGGTCCATATGAGTTGAAATTAAATTGACGGCAGTAGGTTTGGATTTTTTGATTTGGTGAATGCTCAGAAAGTATTTTTGCCTTTAGACTAGCCACTTCACATTTCTTAACTATAGGCAAAGTTACATATAGTAAGAGAGCTCTCCAGATGGAAGGAATAGTTACACTGGAGGGTTGCGAAAAGCAAGGATAGGTGTGGCTCTTCAGATATAATGGACCTGACATTGCCTCTGTAGTACGTACTGTGAAGAAAAAGAAATGACCAGACTTAATAAGCAATTAGTTACAGAAGGAGGAGTTGAAATCTTTGTGGTGTTGAACATGGAGAACTGGAAGAATTATGGCATATCTGAAATTGGAAAGAGGGGGAGAAGCCAGTCTGGTTGGAATGAAATGATTTCCGTTCTAGGCTTGTGAAGTTTGAGGCAACAGTGCGATGACAAAGCAGAAATGTCCAGCTAGTATTTGGAGATAGGGAACTGGAATGTTAGTCACTCATCAGACCTTTATGGAGCCATGTACTCTATGCCAGGAACTTTACTTGAAAATTACGGACAGGTGTCACCAAGGTGGGAGAGGTTCATACTGGCAGAGAGAATGTGTGGAAATGGGGCCCTCATGAGACAGAAAGCACAGGTGGGAGATTCACTTGTAAGAGAAGTCAGAATGGCTTTAAGATGCAAGGGAAGGTGAGAAAATGTGTTAAGATAGAGAGGTAGTTATTAACTGGGGAGGAATCTTGATTTAAGTACCCAGCTCTCGTTGTGAAATGTGAATGGGAAATGGAGGGGAATTCAATTTGGTGCACTTACCTCCCCTTACCTTCTGAAGGGACTGATGTAATTTACAATCCAAGAGGTGGAAAGTGTTGCATTGATGAACCCAAAGCTTTGTGTTTGTTGGTGAGGGGTTGCTGCAGAGATGTTGGATTTGATCATTATGATGGCAGAAGACTGGCAGGAACAAATAATCAAAGGCAACTGTTAGCTGAGGAGAGTTGGAATAGTTGAAAGGTTTGGGGTTTAGGGGGTGGGCTGTAAACAGGAATTGGGCATGGTAGGACATGTGCTTTGAACAGTAATGAGAGCCTAGAAATGACACTTGAATATAAGGTCCAGCATGTACTTCCCTTGCTTGAGTCATAGAAAATGAGAGAATAT